ATGGTCATCCTACATGACATGTGCAGCTTTAACTAATCAACAAACATGACAAAATCCTCGTGACACTTCCAGACAATTGTCAGTAGAACCCAAGCCCGAGGAAGTCATTATGGGTACTTCCAATAAACCACGCTACACAGTTTGACTATTCAAACCATTCCTCCCCCCACTACGCACTGGTCATGTCTATCGACCTTCTCCCTTCCCCTTGATAGCCCTGTGCTAAGCGTAACGCCTCAAACGGCAGCGTCCGTTACGCCCCCAGTTAAGCTGGAGATGCGAAACAAAAAAAAAGTGTTCCTGATCATGAGATGAAGCCGATACCATCCAGCTATGACGTTGTAGTTTCTAAAAAAAGCATTTTAGCATGGCTTGCAACAACATCTGAGCGTAACGCTAGTGTTACGTTGCGTTCCGCTATCGTTTTGCTGCCGAAATCAATGCCGCCTTCCTGCCTTGTTAAGCTTCCGTTATAATCCATCAGCCCCCCTCGCATATGTATAAACTAACAAAATGCGTCAACTTCATTCGTTCACAGCAGAGTAAGAACATCCTTTTCGTATGTTGATAATGTGACGACATGGGAACCGGGCCCATTCCCTAACAAGAAATGTAAAACGGACATTGGACTCAGATGTTTTCTGTCCACCCTCGGCCAGCGCCCGTTCTTTGTCCACCCTCGGCCGGTGTCCGTTCTCAGTGCTCGCCGCCCAGCATCCGTTGTGATAACTAGAGTCCGAGAGCCGTCCGCCCACCGCGCGTTGCCACTGCAGTACCGGCACCGGGCGGCGGCGCGCAATGTTTGCCAGCCGGTGGACGGACATGGACAAAAACAGCGCTCCGTGGCCGGTGGGCGGGCGCCAGAACAGCTGCACAGTTAGCGCCGTTGCCGCCCTTCGGTGGAGATAGCTGCGCAGCTGGCGCCGCCGCCGCCGTCCGGCGGGGGCAGCTGCACAGCTGGCACCGCTGCCGCCGTCCAGCAGGGGCGGGTGCACAGCCGGCGCCGCTGCTGCCCTCCGGTGGGGACAGTTGCGCAGCTGGCACCGCTGCTAACCTCTGGTGGCGACAGCTGCGCAGCCGGCACCGGTGCCGTCGTCCGGCAGGGACAGCCGCACAGCTAATGCCGCCGCCGCGCTCCGCCGGGGACACGTCTGAGCTCCGACAGTCTGGCAGAAGATCAGCTCACTGCGACCGCTTCTGGGACCGTCAGCACGGGCTTTGGTCACTCACGCCGACGTGCTGATGACGCTCCAGTTGAGCTTGTCGGCTCTGTTGTCTGATATCTGACCCACATGTGTACGAGACCTACATGACTTCTTTTTTAGTCCTCCGTGCCGCACTGCTGTCACTGAGGCATACATACTTTGAATGCTGTCACTAATTTATTGCTGCGTACGTCATCGGAATTCACAGCATGACTCTTTCTAGTTGCCTGTGCGTGACGCCTCCATGTTGGCCACTGGCTCATCATGTGGTTGCCTACCGCTGTTTTCAGCCCGTTCCCGTGGCTGGTGATCTGTCCATAGGTAGCAGCCCTGCTGTTCGCTTGGCGTGAGGCTTGGCTCATTGAGCTAAGACCTGCATTGTGCTGTAGGTTAGCCAGAGTCCTGAGAGCCTTCTCAGGCTTGCTGCCAGGGCTGGGAGCAGCCCCTCGGACCTATGGCCCACTACTGAAGCTGGAAACCTCCCGGGCCTTACTACCACGACTGAGAACATTTTGAGTCCTGCTGGAGAACAGCTAAGTCTTATCCGAGATTTAACCCAGCGTATGTCATGGATGATTTGGGAGGGTTTGCCAAGTAAAGAGTGAATGCCCTGGTTACGCGGCCCCAGTCGAGCAATTTATTTCAACAAGTTTTGTCAAAAGCTTTAAAGTGGCACGCAATGTTGTGACGTAATCGCCCCCTGCTTCAGCCTGGCTTCTTTAGTTCGCTACCATTGTACCATGACCATTACTAACATCGGCAGAAGCGCGGCCTCTTGGACGACAACCCTCATACATATCACCCATGGGCCAATGTCTGAGGCCCTACCAATGACGATACGGATATGATAGCCATGTGACTCTGCCCCTAAAACTGCAAAACGCCACCGAAGCCTGCAATTTTCTCCATTTTGTCAAAAAGTAAACAACATTTTGAGCGTCGCTACAAAAAGCGAAGCCTTCCGGGACAATTTGCACTAAATCGGAGTCAACCACTCACGCCAATCCTCGCATCAAGCCGGCGAGGTCTGCGCGGAGAAGTGCAGCTGCGCTCCGAGAAACGCGACGCGCAATCACTCTGGTCCCCGGAACATCCACCGATCCGGCCGCATCAATTACCACCCGATCAGGCCTTTTAGGGCCGGTTCGTGTGCAGGTGTGGGGTTCGTTCTTTGTAAGCCCGTCACAAGCACGATGTTCAAGTCGACAACGTGCTGGCTGGACGCGCCCTCCGCTCGTTGTCCGGGGAGGCCTTCACGCGAGCGGAGCTCATTTGGGATGCACCCTGGACAGCTGGCCTCGTTACCCTGTCAGCTGTTTGGCAATGGAGGGGCCGCGGTCAGCCGCCACTCTCAGATGCGGACCGATACGCAAGCACAGGACCCGCCAGCCGTGGGTTTCACCTGCCCGACCCAACGCGACGGGCGCGAGACGTTGCAAATATATGGCGGACAGACCTTGGGACAGGACCTGTGGACAGTGTGCTTTGCCTGCCTGACCCAGCATCAGGCAGGAGGCAGTCCAAATGTGCGACGTGCGGGCAGACCAGAATCGAATATCGGCGCAGGAATCTGTCAGCAGTCTTTGAGAGGCATGTTATCCATGCGTCGGTCTTATGTATGTGCGCACCTCGGGCCTGAGACTGCCGATGGACCCACGCCCGCCATGCCAACGCCCGCGTGTTACCCATGCGTCCGTCTCATGTATGTGCGCACCTCGAGCCTGAAGCTGCCGATGGACCCGCGCCCGCCATGCCAACGCCCGCGTGTTACCCATGCTTCGGTCTCATGTATGTGCGCACCTCGGGCCCGAAACTGCCGATGGACCCACGCCCGCCAAAAGCGAGGGCTCTGTTGACTAAGAGAGCTCTGCTGAGTGAGATGACTACTCGCACAGGTCCGTGTACTCCGTCAATAGCACTCCAAGCCTTCCGAGTGAGAGAACTCTGCTGAGTGAGATGACTACTCGCACCGGTCCGTGTACTCCGTCAGTAGCACTCCAAGCCTTCCGAGTGAGAGAACTCTCCTAAGTGAGAGGACTGCTAGCACAGGTCCGTGCATTCCGTCAGTAGCACTCCATGCCTGCCGAGTGAGAGCACCGCTCGCACCAGTCCGTACAGGCCTCCAGTAGCACTCCAAGCCCGCCGAATGAGAGGACTCTGCCGATTGAGGGCACTCTGCCGGGTGAGAGGACCGCTTGTGTTCGCCCATGCCCTCCGGAAGTGACACTCCAGGCTTACGACTCGTGATATAATTTTATTCAGTTCAACATGAGTAGCGCGGGACAGGCAGGCGGATCGACTGACAAATGTGCTTATAGTCTACCAGAATCGCTCCGTGGGGTCCCCGCGGCCGGCGCGCGCGCACGGCCGGGACCAGTCCGACCGTTCTGCCGGGGCCGACACGCGGCAGGGGGCGAGGGGCGGCCAGCGGACGACCAGGCGACAGTCCAGAGCCTCGCTAACCTCCGGCCGGTGCTGGCGCGGCGCCGCTCACCACAGGAAGCCAGGCGGTGCCACTGCTGGCACGCTGAACACAAGTCGGAGTTGACTAGCAAAAATAGCCACGTGACTAGTGGGACGTCAACACAACCTACACACGTATGGGGCTCTACATGGTAATTACAGTGATGGGGTGGGGGTACACGGCGATCGAGGGAAAACGGGGAGACGGAGGTTAGTTGTGATGCCAGGTGAGGTTTGATGACACATTCACAGTGTGACAAACCAGGAAAGACATAAGAAATACGCGTACACAGACACGCACATGCTAGTGAACGAGCTCTCGCACAAATTAGCTGATGCGTTTCTCATGCACGCGCACACGCAGACCCACACCTTCACGCACACAGACCACAACCCACGTGCCAAACCGCCCCACACACACAAGCGCATCAGATACTCGACGGTGCACCAACGGTGGATGTGAAAGGGTACTCTAGAGAAACAGAAGACAGACACTTGCAGCTACAGACATGCGCAGCTACAGACATGCGCAGCTACAGACACGCGCAGCTAGTCTGACGCGGACACACAGTACTTTTAATGCCCTATTCCCGGATGTCACCATTTTCACGTGGAAACGGTCGACGACATGACAGATACAAGACACGTGAACACAGCATTATGCAGATGTGGGGGAGGGGACGGACATGGGGAAAGAACACTACACCCTACGCTGCCTGGCCGCCGCTCGCCGCCCCACGCCACCTGCCGACACCCATGGTTAACAGGCACGCTCGCGTTCACTCCTGCGCCCCGAATTTGTAACAATATGGTAACAAGAGAGGTCCGTCGGAGGGCCGCCTGTCTCGAGCTCAGCGCCACGTTCGTCGCGCCGGGGCCGCCGCGCCACCGCTCCGAACGCATCCCTCGACACTGGCATAGGTGGCAGCACCAGCGGCCCGTTTATCGGCCCGACTCCAGCCCCCGTCTAAACCTGCAGCTACCGCCCAGCATGGGCCTGATCGCACGGCGCGCTCGCCCATAACTCTTCCGCTCATCCCAGTAGCAAAATACGGATTTCCGTAACGGCGTCAGGTACGTGAGCTGATTTTCCGTACACGATACACTCCACACCCTCACGTTGTGCACACACGGCAGGTCGCGTCGTCCGCACCGGGCCCGCCCAGCGCCAGATCACACTCTCGTACAAGGTCCGTCGGCGGCCGCGCCTCATCAGCGACGGCCGAGGCCGCGCCCCGGCGCCCCGGACCGCTGCAGGCGCCGCGCGCCGCGGCGCTGTCGTGGGACCAGCCTGGAGGGCCCGGCCACCCGGGACAGCGACCGCGCGCCGGGGCGGGCGGGGCGGGTGGGAGGGCCGTCACGGCCGCTCGCACGTCTCTAGCTCGCCGGCAGATACACTCGGACACGCTCGCGGGACGCCACAGCACGCACTCGACACAGAATGAACACGTCCTGGTGGCCGGCCGGCGCGGCTCTAGTTGATGGAGCGGCCGCTGCGCGGCGCCGACATCGGGCGCCTCGGCGCCTCGGCGTTTGTACTGGTAATATCCGGGCTGAGGGAGAGCGTGGCTCGCCACTCGGCCGCCGCCGACTTGACTCAGTGCGCTGGCGATCTCCCCAGAACTGAGGACGGGCACGCGTACAAATTAACAGCCTGGCTGGAGGTGACCGTAGAACGCGCCCATAAAAGTGGCAAAATTGGATAAAGCACGAGTCATCGCGGCACCATCGAGCGTCATCGAATGAATGACAAAGATGCCAAAAAACCCAGACTCGTTTTTTCCCGATGGATGCTGATACGGTGGAGTTCGTGGCCACGCTTTTAGTCAATGAATCAAGACGGAATTACGATCTATCACACCAGGCCACTGCACCGTCTACTGGTGAAAGCAGCCTCGTCCCCAACCAACACCAGAAGAGGTTTGCCCAGGGTCTTGCATGAAGCGAGTCTTCCGTCTGGACCTGTTCAAATGCCTTGTAGTGTAAAACCGGGAGGAGCGGGAAGAGGATTAGCGGGATAATACCCGATAGCTTACTTATTAACTCACGGCATATACTTTCTGGCGCTCATGTGTCGCAGCCTTTCGGTCCAATATCGAGCGGGTGCCCGTTAACGGCTAACTGCTACGGCAGCGGCTACGGCAGCGGCTAACTGCTCGGAAGCTGAGGCTGGGTTACCCGCCCCGAATTCGCGAAGCCCCCAGATGCCCCCGACGCCGCCGAAGGCAGGAGAAAAGGAGGAGACGGCGACGAGAGCGGAGGAGGGAGGAGCCACCGACCTCGACGGGCGTGCAGCATCTCGATGAGCAGGGAGGTGGCGCTGTTGGTGTCGTGCTTCTGGTAGAGGTAGTCCTCGCCGCGGTGCGCCAGTTCGCGCAGCTCCGGCAGCAGCGCCACCAGGCGCAGGTGCTTGTTCTGATGGCACAGGCGGGCCATCAGCCGCGGCAGAGGAGCACCACGACACGGTGGAACCAGGTCCAGACAGCCAACTACAGCCCCGGTAGGGGGCGGGGCTCCACAGATGTATCGCGCGTTATATCAGGGCACGCTTCTCGGTAAGTGTCTACAGGGAGTTGGATGACTATTTGCGTGTGTGCTTGATAAAGCCTTTTAGCGTCCAGTCAAATATAAACAAAAATGTACGAACAGAAATGCACAAAAATGCACGTCACAAAAATTTGACAGCCATGCGCAATGCCGTAATTACACAGTGCTGACCCCACTTAGGAGTCGACCCTCATAAGCCGGTAGGGAAAAATATGTTGCGAGCTAGGACTAGTGAGATGAGACACACGTTTTCAACACAGCTCATGCAAGCCAGCTAGAAAAACTGACTCCTGTAATGACCAGACCCGAACGTTTGCTCGTTTCTCCGAGACTCGGACCAAACCCAATTCAAAAACCCGACCGGTGCCGACAGAAATACTTTTTTCTGGTGACTGTATACGAAACTTTGTGAATGCCTCGCCAGATGTGAGCCTAGATTGCTTGTTTTCAATAAACACAATGTTCCTTGACATGAGCGCCGTGGTCTTTACTGTCAGGTATACTTAGAAAGACCTGTAAAACACGCATAGGTAGGAATGAAGCACTGGCAGACAGAGACGTTAACAGAGCTGAGGACCATCAAGCTGGTAATAGCCTGACGACTACTGCTTTAATAAATGTGGACTACGCTGCGGGGTGTTAGATAACACGTTCAGTTGTAAACCTGTCTCACCATCTTCATTTTGCAGGTGATAGCTGAAAAACTGCCAAGAAAGGCGTTTGGGCAGCATACACTGAGTAATAACTAGAAGTATTGGCAGTGCTGCCACCTGCGTGTAACAGCACGAACTATATTAGCAACTCTACCAGCCTAAGGTTGTAATGTTACACTTTTAAGCAGAAAAGCACTGAGCTATGAGACATGTCCGATTAAACACACTTAGCACCGACATATACCTCGATGACACCGTGCTAAATACATTTCAACAACTTCAATACGCCAGCTTGTAGATGCTTTCCAACACCAGCGCTTCGCGCTCGCGGCCGCCGTGGCCGCGTGGCTAGTGCTGCCGCCTGTCGGCCGCTGGGTGACACCCACCTGAATGTCCGGATGAGCCGCACTGCAATAGTCTAGATGAGCCTGGTTCATCTGCTCTTGCGCCTGCTGCACGTGCCTCCGATTGCTCAGCGTGGGCAGGTCTGAGGAGATCAATCGGCGATTAGGAGATCCAACATCGCTCGTTTGTGGGTCACATGCTTCATGTTGGGTGCTGACGTGTCACGATAAGACTCTCACTGGATCTCACAGCAAACAGTCGCTTGTCTCACAGTGAACAGTAGCTGGGTCTCAAATCAAACGGCTGCGTCACTGGGTCTCACAGTGAACAGTCGCTGGATCCCACAGTGAAAAGTCGCTGGGTCTTACAGCAAACAGTCGCTGGGTCTCAAACAGCACAGACAAACCGATGACCCAGGCGCTGCCACTGATATTCTGGCCACATGGAACTTCTAAAAAGTGAGTGCGTTCTCGCACTGGCACTATGAGTCTATTAGAAATGGGCGCTGTCCCGCGCAAGCGCAAGCACAAGCAAGTCCTCCCCCTCGTCCCAGCCAGACGCCGAGGCCTGGATCTCCGACTTCTGGCCGCGCACCGAGCACCGGCCTCTCCCCGCTCCCGCATTGGACGCCGCCCACGTACTGGGGTCGAGCATGAGGATGAACTTGAGGCAGATGTAGTCGCTGACGTCGAAGCTGAGTTGCTGCAGGCGCGCGGTGAGGTCGTGCAGCTGCGGCACCAGCTCGGTCATACCGAACAGGCTGAGCGTCAGCAGGTCAAACTTCTGCCCGTTGGGCAGCGTCGTGCTGTCCGGCAGGTTATTATGCAGCCGCTGGTGGATGTGGTCCAGGATCAGCATCACCGACCACGTGGCCTGCAGAAGCTTCATCTGGTCCTCCACCTGACGGACGACGAGAGCAGAGTCAGGTGGGGGCATACAGCGGCGGAGCAGACGGCACGGCAGAGGGACGTGGCGCGGCGGACAGACATGGTGGGACAGACGGACACGGCGGGGCGGGCAGAAAGTACAGCACATCCAGGCACGGCGTGCAGAGAAGCCGTTGACATTTTGTGGAGCGCTGTATTCCTCAGCTCACGGTGCCTGTTCAGCTGCTACGGCTAAATGGTATCGTAAGATTCAAAACGCGTGGGCAAGCTGTTACATGAATATGGTGCGTTGTACCTAACATGTCTGCAGGTCCTCACACGACGGGTTCGTGGCACCTGAGGACCCATTGCAACACGACCATCGCACCTCTGAGGTCCCACTGTAACACGACCATCGCACCTCTGAGGTCCCACTGCAACACGACCGTCGCATCCCTGAGATTCCACTGTAACACGACCGTCACACCTATGAGGTCCCACCGTAGCACGATCCCTAAGGTCTTACTGTGAAACCACAACCGCACCTCCGAGGTCCCACTGTAACACGACCATCGCACCTCTGAGATCCCACTGTAACACCACCGTCGCGCCTCTGAGGTTTTACTGTAGCACCACCATCGCAGCTCTGAGGTCACACTGTAACGTGACCATCGCACCTCTGAGGTCCCACTGTGACGTGACCATCGCACCTCTGAGGTCCCACTGTAACGTGACCATCGCACCAGAGATGCCATCGCTCCCGGGTGCTAGCGGGTTACTGTAGCCAATCACCAGGATGCGATTGTCGGCTCCGTCTCAGAGCCCAAGGTGAGCTAGTATGGCGGAAACGTCCTGACATGGCTCCCATACAGTTCGAGCGAGCTAAAGCTCACCAATCATGACTCGCCGATAGCGCTAGGACAGCCAGGCCGCCAACAACAGCTCAGGCTTTGTACATAAAGCTCTCACCAGCCAACACAGACGCAAACATGACGCCACGTATCAATCTCAAGTTACCACGTGCGCAGGAGGTAATTAAACCGGCATGGGCCCGGCGAACTGGTGCACGGTACGTCACTAGTCCCTATCCACACGATCAAACGTCCCACGAAGGCGGGAAGTCCCAGCCGACATCGCTGACTGACAGCAATCGATTCCACCCCAATGCACCCGCGTCAGCGGCAGGCAACGCCGGGTACCAAGTACTTGTGCACAGCCGGCTGCCCAGCTCTACGGAACGCCGGAATGCTCGCCCATTGCGCGTATTAGCGGCGCGCCCAAATCTGCCGCCCGACCGTCGGCGAGCCAGCGTGTAACGGTCCGGCGGCGGCGCGCGCCGAGGTTCGCTGGACCGTTGGCACCGCTGAACGGGCACCGCATAAGCCATGCGCTCCGGCGGCGCTCACCAGGAAAACCCGCCGGTAAAACTCCTCGGCCGCCAGAAAACGCGCCGCTGCAGGCTTAACGGCGCTGCAGGGAGAACGGTAGGCGTGAACCGTCCCAGTCGGCCGTCCCGTGACCCAGATCGGTCAGGGTTCGGCCGGAGGAGGCGGGCTGGCGTTTGGGGGCCTCGCGACGGGCCGGCGGGGCGCCGGGGGCGGCCCGTCTCCGGCGGAGGGCGCCCGCCCCTGGCGACACCGCCGCCATGACCTATCTGCCGGCGGCGGCCCGAGGCGGCGGTGGCGCCGGTGCGTGCGGGCCACATGCCATTATTCCAGCACTTTCACTCTCCAAGGCCGCGGGTGGCGCGCCGAGCGGGGCGGACGGGACGCGGCCGCCGCCGGACGGCCGGCGAGGGTGGCGGCGCCGACGCGGCCCGCGCGCCGCCGGGGCCCGTCCGTGCCCAGGACCGACCTCCGGCCGACACGGTCCACGCCGCCGCCGCACCCAGGCTGTCGTGTCCCAGACAGGCCCCTGAGTGATGCGGATGGGCCGCTGGGCAAGTCTGCTCACGCCCTTTCCTATGTCTTTGATCGCTTTACATGGACGACTTTTTGGATTGGGACCTTAGAGACTACAGTTACTGCTACAAAGCTTTGTTTTAAGCAATGTGGTTTCGGCATCACAGTAGAAAGATTGGATGATGAGTCACGTCACGAAAGGTAACAATTCAGCAATGCATAGCAATGGGCGGGAACAGGACCTTTGAACCTCAGACTGTTTAAAGCGCTCACGCCCAGTCTGTTCTGCAATTATCACGCCTTCGTGCAAGACGTGGAGTGAAAGTTAAGACAGCAACAATAGCCTTATTCCTAGTATTCCTTATTCCGAGGAATAAGGCTATTACTGCTTCCTTATCTATGTGCATAATGTCCCTCGCAAATGCACTCAACAACTTACGTTATTCTGAAGTGGAAGTTCATAAAACCGTTGACGTCCACATCTCAGCGCAGCAACACCACCAAGGATGAAGGAACACATTGAAGGGCCAGTCGCGACGCCCCTGGTCACCTCGATTTATGCCGTGGAATCGGAGCCGGGACCGAAGGCCAGCGGTGGGTTCCCGCCGGCCGCCTCCCGCCTCCCCGTCTCTCCGCCTCCCCGCCGTCCTGTCACCACGTCCCCGGCCTGTCGGGCTACATCTGGACCGATGGAGGGTCGGGGTGGGGCCTTGAGACCGGCCCACAAGCAGCCGGCGGAAAGACGTGTGCAGTCGTAGAGGCGGAGAAAAGAGAAGAGAGGGTCGAGGAGGCGAAAACGTAACGGTGACGATGTTTGAACCACCCCGCCGTGGGTAATCACTGACGGGCTACCGACAGCACTGAGCTTTAAGACAGCGGCTACAAAATGATTACACACCTACTAATAGCTCTCAGCTTGAAAACATTATGTCACACACAAGGTTATCACACATACCAGCTTGAGACATGACAAATATCCCTTCACACGGAACCCACATAAGTAACAACGCTCCCGTCATAACGCAACTACAGCGTTTTAACAGCGGCGCGGTGCAGGCTGTGGGCTGCGGTTACGAGAACACTTGTGCGTGAAGGCGTGCGAGCAGCCGCGGGCGCACGAACGCCGGCCGGGTTACGTCAGAGCGCGGGTCCCGCTCTGACCTATTTCCGAGCGTTTCCAAACCATCGAGACCTGTTGGTCAATGCGCCCGGCGACCCACATAGAAAAGCCCCGTCATCGCCTGCATTGTGCGTGACGGCCATTATGCGTGCTGCGGGCTGGCGCAACACGCACGTGCGTGCGCTGCCGGCGGGCGGCGCCGCCGGCTGCCTGTGGGACGGCCGGGGCTGCGGGTACCGGGCACAGCATCGATGCACGGCGCCCAGGTCTGCTAGGCGCCATCTCTGGCTCCGGGGCACGGGGTCCGCTGCAGGTCACGGCACCCAGCTGCGGGTCACCGAGGTCAGCTCTAGGCTCCGGCATACGTGACCAGACCGCAGGTCACTTGACTGCTCCAGGTCACGTGACTCAGCTCCAGGCGGCGGGACTCGGGGTCAGGTCACAGGCCTGGGTCAGAGGACTCTATCCCAAGTCACCATTTCCAGGTGGATGATTTCAGGGGCTCAACTTCCGGCCACGTGAATCAGCTCGAGGTCATGGGGCTCAGCTCCAGGTCACCGAGGTCAGCTTCAAATTACGTCATACCTGACTTCCCCACAGGTCACTTGACTCAGCTTCAGGTCATGGCCGGGTTACAGGCCCAACCCTGGCGACCGCCCCGACTCGAGATTACAAGGTTCAGAGCTCCAGGTCACGAGATTCAGCTTCAGGTCATGGACACAGCTGCAGGTCATGGGGCTTCGGAGGTCCAGGTCATGACGCTCCATGAATCCAGGTTATGCGGCTCGGCTCAGGTCATGGATCTCGGCCAGATGTCACAGGATCCACTTCAGGTCATGAGACTCAGGATCAGGTCACTGCGCCAGATCCAGGTCGTGAGTGCTGAACGAAGAACTCGGCTCTACGTCACGGGCCTCATCTCCAGAAAACTGGAATTGATAGGACCCGACTCCGTGTCGCGGGCTCCGCTCCAATTCGCATGACCACCTCCCAGGACACTGAGCTCAGTTTGGCCACGTCAAAAGTCTTTTCAAGAGCGTCACTTCCCTGCTGAAAGCTTTAAAACAGAACATCAAACTCCTCCATGGCCTCCCCGACGTGTTTCACTGCTCAATGTCCTTTGTTCACACCAAAAGTTCTGCGGAGATGTGGCCCAATCGGTCCGACCGCTCCTTCCGTATCCGTCGCTCTCCCCGTTCGCCGCGCCCGGCTCTGTCTCCAGCACTGACTCTGGGCGGCGCGGCGATCGCCGGCGGCGCAGTTCGTCCTTGCGCCGCCCCAGACCGCGCCACATTAGCCGGAAGTGCCGCTGACACACAGTCGCAGACAGACATACGCCCGGAGCGGCGGCGCGGCCTTCCTCGGCCAGCGGCGGCGGCGACTCAGGGCCGCCGGCCGGGACCGGAGCGGACCCCCTGCCACCCGGCCCGGCCCAGCCCGGTCCGCGATCGCTTGCTCCGGGTCAACAGGGCCGCAGCTCGCCTGCAGAGGCGCCGGCGCGGCCCCAGCAGGCCCCGAGCGAGATCTGTCCGTCCGCAGTCCAGAAGACGCGAGGCTCCGTCCTCAACAGCCGGCACCAACGCCACCTTGTGGTGTCTTTCGTTGACGTGTTTTACATTCCGGACACCCATGCCTGGTAGGAGCCGGCCAAGTTCTTGCATGCTGTTGAACGCTGTTCGGCGCTCCGATGTTACAATGAACACGGATCAGGACATGCTATCGAAGTGTCCGATCCCACCAACCCGCGTCACTGGGTCCGACGCTGATTCCCCCTGTGGTGGATCTCTTCCAATCCCTTGTCAGCCCGAGTCCGTCGGCGATCGCGGCCTTGTCGGGCCTTACCCCTCCGGGACTTTGCAGAGCCCCTCGCCTTTGCGTCCAATGTTTCACTTCCATCGTCAACCATGAGACTGGGCTGTCCAAGACCCCGCCTGCTTTGAGCCACGCTCCTGGACAGGGGTCGCTGGTCAATACCCGCCTTCTACCGGTGAGGGTTTCTCAAGCTCTGGCAGTGTGCCCCGACCTTTTTACACCGCCAACTATGTGACTCCACCGAAGTTTCCCCTATTGCATGTCGCCAGTCCCCGTACTCCCCGGTGGCGCAGGCAGCACGGCGCCCGCCTAGTTCGGCCGCCGGCCGGCAGAGGGCAGGCCCGCCGCGCCGGCGCCTCACGTCGGCGTGACGTCACTGGCGGCGGCCGAGCTCGGCTCACCTTGTCCCAGTTACAGCTGTTTACCGACGGCAGCAGATAAACAGTGGGCTGGCTGCCAAACGCGGAACTGAAGGTGCGCACGACCCGCACCGCTGACGTCAGCGGCGTGCAGACAGCGCCGCAGCCTGTTCCGCCGGCACGCAACACGGCAGCGCGCCCGGCGGTGCTTCTGGCGAGCTCATACGGGACTCTCCACGCATCCAGTGCGGTCTGTTCCCGGCGGGTTAGCTCTCGGGCGCCTTCTCCCGCTCCGGCGCAGCGTGGCGTCGACGCGGCGTCTGGAGCCGCAGCGAGTCGCTGCGGCTCCAGACGCGCCCGTCATCACTGGCGGCGCGGCGGCGCGTTTAGAGTCGTCCGCACTGGCGGCGCGTGCTTCAGCGAAGGACGCGCCCGTCATGACTCGGCAGCCGCGAGTCATGTGCTCCATGTGCTCCGAGCAGTGCTCCCTAACGCGCCTTAGAATCAATTGACGAACGAGATTCTGGGCAGCGATCGGGATTTGCGCACGTGCATGCGCATGCGCACCGTGTCCGACCATCACAGCTGGGACCACAGTGCAGGATAGTAGTGCATTGCTGCGGTCACTATACTGCACTGTTGCACCATCACAGCTGGAACAACAGTGCAGGATAGCGCCGCCAGTGGAGCTCGCTACGGAGCCTGCTCGCGCGTTACGGAGCACATGCGTGCACGCGCTGGAACTGGCCCAGCTCGCGCTGCCGCCGCCGTGGCTAGTGCGCTTCTGACGGCGCTAACGACGGGCACGCGGACGCCTCAGCAGGCTCGCGACTGACACCGGGTGGCACCGCGCTCCGCACGCCAGACTGTCCGGGCAGGCTCGGTTGGTGACCACTGGCCCGGCCCGCTGGCACCACGCAACACGCCCGCGGCGCCGCCGGCGGAGGTGTCCGGTCAGCAGCAGTCATCGGCCTGAGTCGGACGGACAGGGAGACGGCGGCCTGGCCTTCACCGGACACGACCGCCGCGTCGCACACATGCCCTTGCGCTCGTGTCACTGACGAGTCCACCGATACCTACCGACACCCTCCCACGTCTGCGGAAAACACTAACTGAAGTCCTAGCAATGCAGAAGTTACATCCGTCGACAATTTCAGAGCATTTGAATGGCATTAGGTACACGGGAGATTTGAAGATACTTTTTCACCACACACGGAATGAACGCGAAAGGTTCCAGGTTGGCTTTTCTGCTGTGCGTAAAGCCATGTCCGAAAACTAACCACGGAGGGGTGAACATCCCGGTTTGACCACGACGCATCAGTCAGCCTCAGTCCATGACGGGAATCTGTGCCGGAGTCGAACGCCAGCCGACGCACAAGGTGACCCCGGTTCCAGACCGTCGCCCGTCGCCCGTCGGTTCCAGCCTCCGTTTCAGACAGTCGCCCGTCTCCCGTCGGTTTCAGCCTTGGTTTAAACCGTCGCCCGTTGCCCGTCGGTTTGAGCTCCGGTTTAATTCGTCGCCCGTCGCCCGTCGGTTTCAGACCCCGTTTAGACCGTCGCTCGTCGCACGCCAACATGTCCGCCGGCAATTCATCACCTCTCAGCCAGGGGAGGAACGCACGCCGTCTGCCAGCACGGCGCCGTCTCAGCCGCCGGCTGCCCGCGGCCTCGCGCCAGCCGACTTCTGCAGGCCTCTCGACAAGCAGGCACCAGCTGTCTCCCGTCTCTCGTCAGCGGACACGGGCCATCTCCCATCAGCAGAGACGCAAGCGATATCAAAGCAGTCAGCAGAGACGCAAGCCGCCTCACATCAGAGGAGACACGTCTCCTGTCGCCAGCCGCGCGGGACATGTGCCATTGCGAGAGACGCGTAAGTCGCCCCTCTCCCGTACAGACGCGCGTCATGGCCCGTTATTTGTGAGGCGAGCCATCTCCGCCGTCAGAGACGCGCGCCGCCTCCGTTTCGATGGACATCCGATGGGGGCCGTCTGCCGCCCGTGGTCCGCGCAGGCGCAGGCCGCCGTCCACTGACTCAGCAGTCGGGGAGCCCGAGAGGGCCCGTTTCACCGCTGCTATCAGCTGCCAGCCGGTAAAACTCTCGCTCTCCAAATAGGCTCGGATAGTAGGTCAGCGTCGATCCCAAGTGCAGTGGGTCAGCGGGGCAGCCTTGACCCAGTTGGAGCCACTTTCGCCGGCCGCCGGCTGGCGGCTCTCCGGAGAAGGGCCGCCGGGCGCCGCTGGGCGGGGGGGGGGGGGGGGGCTGCCGGCCGGGTCAAGGCGGCCCGGTACCGCGCCGGGCCGTCCCTCCCCCCTCACAGAGCACTTCCTGGGCCGGGGCCGCGCGGCGCGATCCAGCCGTCCGGCTCGGCCTCAGCTGGCTAAACACGCGAACCAGAAGCTGCCAGCGAGCGTGCGCGGGCGAGGGTGGCGTAGCCACGGCCGTCATGCAGCCCGTCACGCAGTCCCGCTGCGGCAGTGTCTTCATCGGAGCGGAGCCCGAGGTCTGGGGTCCTCAGCGGAAGGCAGTACCAGGGAACTCACACCGTAGGTCATGGGAAGGACAGCAGCTTGGCGAAGATCCGAAACCGAGGGTGTCCGATTGTTCCTTTCATGCGTCGTTCCACACGTTGCACGCCGAGTGGGTTGGAACAAATTGCACGGCGCATTACGGCACATGCTGCAACGACTCCTCTTCGGACTCTGCAGTCCCGCTCGGCTGTAGCAACCCGAGTTTGGCTATTTCTAAACAGACACGCGACCTACTTAAGTATTTGTCCGTGCTGTTAGGAAGCTTAGTGTTTGTATTAGCACTCTTCGGGTATGGCGCTGTCTATTTGGACTAGGCGAATATGAGGATGTTGAAATCAGTATTTGAGCAGTTTAAAACATTCGAAACCCTTCTGTAAGGCAGAAGTTTACCAAACACTATACATTAATTCTGCATAGAATTAGTGCTGAAATTTGGCGTCCTGCGGCCCAGCGAAGATGGAACACTAAAGCCAACTGACATCGGGCTACAGACCCCTACAGAGAAAGCTGGCGAAAATAATATAATGTTGTTACACTCCTATGGCACGGGACTTCACCGGGTCCAAGTTTAAAACAGCACAGTGGAGTACGATCTGCAGCAACATAAATAAAGAGGTTTGCAACGCAAGATCTATCGCGTGATTCCGCAGGAAATGATGTCGTTTTTGTCAGTGCTCTCGACAACACAATGTCCGCTGAGCTCAGCCCTTTGAGTCGCCTTATTCACAAGTCCTGCCCGGCAGATCTTCGGGTAAATGCATTGGCAAACTGTGCAAAGTACCGAACATTGGAACGCGCCCACACGAGCATTCAAACACCAGACGCCCGACTTTCCTGTTCACCCGAAGAGCAACAAAACGCGAGGCGGCACGTCACGGCCGTGCCCGCGTCGTACTCACCCTCAAATCCTTGAAGAAGACTGAGTTGCGGGCCCAGTCGACCTGCGTGAACAGGTTGGTATCGAGCACTTTGCACAGCAGTTCGAACAGGTCCACCTCGCACTGGTTGTACGTCTGCGTCTGCAGCAGGCTGAACAGCTGCTGCTGCCACTGGCGGTCGTCCAGCGAGCTGACCAGCTCGCGCACAATGGCGGGCACGTCACTGGCGCGCGAGGCCGCCCACGCCTCGGTGGCGGCGGCGGCGCCCAGCAGCGGCGAGCATGACGAGTCGGGCGACGAGGCCGACGTCGAGCTCAGCACCGGGTACTGGATCTCCTGCTTGATGGTGATGCTGCCGCCGCCGCCGTACGTGACGGGCAGCGAGGTGGCCGGCGAGGCGTAGCTGATGGTGACGGCGTCGGCGCCCACCGTCGGCAGCGTGACGCGCTGCGGACTCATCAGCTGCAGCTGCCGGATGTGCTGCATCTTGCGCGCTCGGTCACGCTTGTACATGGGGCCGAACTTGTTACGGCCGCCTCGCATCCGGTCCTGTCGCACGGCTGCAACGAGAGAAACGCGCCGTTAGGCCAGCCGAACCGGGCGGGACGCGGGCACAGCGGCTGTCAAGGTGCAGTGCAGTCCATTGGAGCGCCAGTCGACGCCAGATCAGACCAGACCAGATCAGAGGAGCGCCAGTCGATTGCTGCCGCGGCCCGGAAAGCCGTGCAAGGCTACGCCGGGTACTGGATGTGACGCAGCCTGGCGGTAATCATTACTCTGCCCCATCAAGTGTGGCATGACGTGTTTCAAACACGCGGCAAGATAAAACAATGTCCGATCTTATCTAAACGTCTTCAGACACAGCACTCAGTGTGCACTTCGAGATCTTTACATGACGAACAGGATAACAAGGAGCGGGCGCGGCCAAGACAGCTAGCGTCGACAGCCGGGGCAATCGCGCCGCTCGCACCGCCGTCACGCAAGTCCGACCGTCCGCCTTCACACCAGCGAGCCACCTTTTCCGAGCGTGCTTTTGCTGCCATCTCGGCGACCCAGCGTCGCCCAGAGTCGGCTGACCCGGCACGAAGGCTGACCTCGATCCGTGACCGATGTGCCGGCCCTGCGGTCGGCGGGCCGAGCAGCCGGCTGTCGTTCCCCGTTCTCCGGCGGCTCACGCACAGTTTCGCCGGCTGCCGGCCGATTTCTCCCGCCCCATCGCAGCAGTAACGTCCGGCGGCGGGAGGGTCGCGGCAGCCGGGCAGCGGTGGCGACCGCGGCCGCCGCCGGCCCCGCGCCGCAGGCCGCCGCCGGCCGTCCCTCGCGCCCGGGATGGACGCGGCGGTGAAAGGAGAGCTGCAGGACGGCCGCCGGCCTCCGCGCCGGCCGCCGCGCGAGCGGCCGGGCTCGCCGCCGGACCCGCACAGCGCCCAGCGTCGACAGAGTCTATGTTACAGCCACTTGGCAAAGATGTTTCTGGGCGCTGAATCAGTGCAGTCATTGGTGTCACTGGCTGAGGTCTGTTCTGGCTTTGCGTTGAGATGTTCTCTCGAATATCAATACAACTGTCAGGTGGGTGGCGGTTGTCCAAGCACACAGGAAAGTCGTGCTAGAACAAGTTGGCTGGATTGTGCGTGAGCTAGGTATAGATAAAGCCTGCGATTGTCGCGGATTAGTTGAAATGTCGCGGATCAGAATTTTAGGACGAAAGACCTCTTTCGGTCCACTCAGAATGAATGAAGACCATAATGACTGTCGGTCTGCTAAAACGCTCGCATGCCGCGAACACCAGCAAGACTTACGGCCTGTCACTCGCATCAAACGACGGAATCTGACAGCACTCTCGTTCGCCAGACCGCGCTAGGCTTTCTCGCAGCAGCGGCTTCCACGGGTCGCAGACCTGCTGTCAGCCGAGCGTTTTCATATTGATCAAGCCTGATCGACCGGGTTGCTCGGGCGTGTTTCACGGGTCGGGCCGGCTCCGCGGGCGGCCGGCCGGCGCCGCCCTGAGCCGCCGCCCGCCAGAGGGCCGCCCACGGACCGGGGGCTCCACCGCCGGCCGCCGTCCCTCCTGCGGGGGGGGGGGGGGGCGGGGGCTGCACCGCAGCCGGACCGCGGCGCCCCTTTCACTTCCTCCGCCGGAGCGCCGTCGTCCTGCGGCCGCCGGCGAAACCGCGCGCGAAACCCGGGCCCGAGACCGGCTCCCAGGCGGGAAAACTGGCGCTGCCCACCGCACGGCGTCCGGTCGGCGTCCGCTCACCGGTCCTCCGCGGTCGGTCGGGAGCGGGTCCTCCGCGGCCGGTCGGGGTCCGCTCACCGGTCCTCCGCGGCCGGTGGAGGCCACCCGCCGGCTCTCCCCGGCAGCGACCAAGCGACGGCGCGACAGGGCGCGTGCGGCGAGATGTGCGCGCGAGCTGAGGTAGCGTTTCAAGAGAGAACGAGATCGGTCTTGGTGCTTCTTTAGAGTCTGCCCAGTTACGCCTGTCTCGACAACTCTCAGTGTCAGGTCAAAGTATTTAAAAACTCGTCAAAACACACCAGCGGAATAATTTTTTTCATTTGTACCTCCCATTCCCCCTTGAAAGTTACGGAGCTCCTCTCCCAGTAACAGCTTCACCCGTGCCGCCACAGCCACCCGCAACATCCACGCCAAACAAAGCTTCTGCCTCGTCCTCGCTCTCTTTTCTCCATTCAGGGCAGCAGCTGTTCAAATCGCGGGGCAGCGGCCGGCGGCGTCAGCGACGGCGCGGCGGCGCGGCCGCGCCGGGCGCAGGGGTGCGCCGGTCCTCCGAGCAGCCAATCAGCACACTGGCGCAGGGGAGCCAGCGCAACAACAGGTGGGTGAAAGGAGAGCACCGGCCACGTGGAGGGGCCGGCCGGGCACCGGCGCGCGCGGAGCCGGTGTCCTGCCGGAGAGGGTCATCGCCCGCGTCAGCGGGGCACGGGAGGACTGACTGGACGCTCGCTGGTCTGTTCTCAGCCACACTCGCCTCGCCGGGCCGGAATAGACGCGTCTGTTCCATGGAAGCAACATTGCCCGCGGGGCAGTCACCTCGAACGCCGTTCGAGGTCAGAATTTGCGCTTAGCGATAGGTTCTGGTTGTTGCATGGAAACCGGACCACACAATGCGGGTATCGTTATGACATCACTTGGAACCCTCAGCGACTGGCTGCAGCGAACCAACCTGCAAGTTCCCACCGTCGGTTCAGCACCACCCGGTGTCGCCTGCGGTTGCTGTTGTTTTGGGCAGCCTTCACCAAGACCATTATAATCCAGGTTCAGTGAGTTGAGTTGGGCTTAGGACCGACTGCAAGCCCTGCAAGCGATCAGGGCTTCTTTTCCTTTTCAGCCCATCCATCGATGTCGGCCCGACTGACACCGGCACGTTTGCTTTAGGACGAGGTAATGATGTGGGAGGGACGGTCGCCCGGTGCCGGCCACAGCAGATTGAGTGTCCCAGCCGGCTGACAAAAACACGAACAGAACGTGTTGGCCGCGCGCGCGAGGATCATGGCGCTCGACGCGCGGAAGGCTCGAGTTACGCGACATAAAAACTGCCCCCATTTGATCGGCGTAATTAGGTCATCGGTATGGTGCTGAAATTGCGCGCTATGTTCAAATGGGGCCTGCACCAACAACACTCCACCGCATTACGACAATGAGCTCTGAGCAGGGCAGGCTCGATGGTTCGTTCGCGAGCGCGAGCAGCCAGCCCTATCACGCATGCTGCGAGCCGCGGCGCACCCAGGCTCCAACAAAGAAATGTTGCCTGGCGGCGTCACCCTGCGCTTGGAAGCTGCTCCACATTGTTCGGTCGCTGAAACGCAGAGCCGAGTACAGCTCAGTCTAGCCCGGGACGGCGAGCTGGCGTTCCCGGCGGCGTGTCCCCCGGCGCCGGGCCCGGGCGCGGGCGCCGGCGGCACCGCCCGCCGCCGGATCTAGGTCAGCCCGCCGCCGGAGAGCCGTCGAAAGTGAAGGTGCGCAAGTCAAACGCGCGCCCTCGCCTCCCGGTGACGTAACGGGCGCAGAATTCGGCGGCGGCGGCGGCCGCGTACGGGGACAAAAACGGCGCGACTGACGGAAGCTCACCCGGTGCGTGACGCGCGGTCGGGCCGGGCCGGGCCGGGCCGGGGCCGGGGCCAGCCAGCGGCGGTGACGCAGGCGGCGCGGTCGACAGGTGGGCGCGCTGGCTCGCTAGGCCAACGTACCGCTCCGCGCCGGCCCGCCCACTGCAGCCGGCCGGCCCGCCCGCCGCCACGCGACCCGGCCGGCGGTGTCAGGCTTGAGCCGGAGGTCAGCGGGGCCGGTGCTCGCATGACGGTGCAGTTCGGCCCGCCGGTCAGCCAGACGGGGCAAGTGCACATTGTCCCGGCATTGGCACCTCCCAGCGTCCTGCTGATATGCACGCGACACATGCTCCTCGCCCCCTCACCGCTGGCTCCCTGGCCGAGTGCGAACATGACCGGTTGCCTCATGCGATGTGTGTGTGTATAATTGTTTGACCGTATTTGGCATTTCAGGATAATTGAGCCCACGAAAAGATCTTTTCAATAGGCGAAAAGCGTCGCAGTGATCCGTTTAACGACTGCAAATGAGTCATTCCCTTCTTATCTGAAGTCAGCTAAGCCGGCTCTGACAGGATGTGACGCCACATACCCGTTTGTAAAAGTACAGAAAGGAACGAAATATCTGCCCTAAAAATGGCGGCGTCCGTCGGGCCGGGCCGGTGCTGTCACAACGCCAGCTCGCGTCGCGGCGCCATGCAGCGTCGCTGTGCGGTCACGGACCGGTGGACAGCGCCGCCGCCGCCGCTGTGCCGACCCGAGCGCACAGGTGCACGCACGCACAGCTCGGCCGCCCCCGCCGCCGGCACCGGCGCCGGCGACGGGGCGGGCCGGGGCGGCGCGGGGCGGGGGCCCGTATTGGTGGCCGCACGCGTAGCCGCCGGCTGAAACAATGCGAGGCCCCGGCGCCCGTTGACCCAGTTCGAGCGCAGGGGGCGGGCGGCGCGCGCGTGCGTGCGCCCTGCACCATCTGGCGGCGGCGCGCGCCGTCAGGGGAGAGAGGGAGAGCAGTTGACCCGGCTGGCCCGGTTACACAATGCGTGCGGACATCTCTGGCGCGGCGGAGGCGGAGGCGGCGCTAACGTAACCGAACGGCCGGCTCGGGTTGGCGCACACCTTCACCGGCGGACGGCGGCGGGCGCCTGACTAGACCACTGCGGACGGACCACTGCGGGCCGGGACCACTGCCGACCGGACCACCGCGGACCGGACCACGGCGAACCTGACCACCGCGGACCGGACCACGGTTAACCTGACCACTGCTGACCGGACCAGCGCGGACCGGACCACTACGGAGCGGACGGACCACCGCATTCCGGACCACTGCTGGCCAGACCACCGCAGACCGGACCACCGCGGACCAGACCACTGCGGACTGGACCACCGCGGACCGGACCACAGCGAACCTGACCACTGCTGACCAGACCACTGCGGACCAGACGGACTACTGCAGAACGGACCACTGCGGACCGGATCACCGTGGACCGAACAACTGCAG